CCCCCCCCCCCCCCCCCCGGGGGTTGCCAAATGTCACCTGGGGTGCAAAATCGCCTCCGAGTGAGGACCGCTGTCGCATAAGCAAAACTGCACGTGGCAGGTGCCCAACTTCTGCCTTCTCTCCCTCTTCTGTAGCCTCACTGCCAGCTTGCTGTTCCGCGGGGGGGCTCACGTCTCAGGCCAGCTCAGAGAAGCCCTCCGGCCCCATTCCCAGCTCCTCGGCACCAGGGGGCACCAGCTGCTGGAGCAGCTGGGCCCTGAGTTTCTGCCCCAGCACAGCCTAGCTGCCGGTAGAGATTCTTCTTTGCCAAGGCAGGCGGTAGTAACCCCCACCTTTGTCCTCGACACTAATTCTGCTCTGTTTCACTCTGCTGACCCTTTCTAGCTGTAGTCGCTATGGTTATATTTTAGAGGCAGCTGGCAACTGTGTTATCTCTTGTGGGGAGCTGGGGGGGTGGGGGGAAGACGCGACAGAAGCAGGAGTCTGGGACAAAACATCCAGTTTCTATCTGCCACCCCCCCCCCCCAACCAGGTAAAGGTCCGGGTTGAAACCAACATCAGCACACTAGCGGCAGCCTGGACGTGGAAAAGAAGTCAGAAAAAGCAACGAGATGAGGGCGGGGGCAGGGAGGAGGCATATGGGGAGGGGAAGTTGTACACTGGCCACGGTAGGGAGGTTTATGAACGGACTGACCCAGCCGCCAGAACACAGGAGACGAAGGCAGTGGGCTAGCCTCAGCCTGGAAGTTCCGGGCTGGCTTTTCAGGTGGGGCGAGCCATGTGCTCACCTTGCTTCACAGGTGTTCTTGGCACTTCCCTCCCTGGGGAAATGGAGAGGGCGAAGAGGGTGGAGGCATTGTTTGCAATAACAGAGTCTTTGCTGCAGCTCAGCTGGCCCTCTTCCTCCCCACCCCCACAGGGCACACTTGGCTTTGTCCAGAGCAAACTCTCAAGTAGGGGAACCAAGAACTCTAATGTGAGTAAAGAGAAAAGTCACCGGGTTGCAAGAGGGGCCACAGACGGTCCAGCGGCCCCCACAACACCGAGCACGAAGGCAGATCAGCAGAGCAGCGTGAACAGGGGATCAGCAAACATTGGCAGCTCTCTGTGGCCTTGGGCAACTCACACAATCTCCTTAAGCCTCAGTCTCCTCCTCTTTAAAAGGTGGGTAATGATGACAACCTCCTGGGATTATTGCAAAGAGGACATAAGATGCCACACGTGGAAACATTTAGAAAACCGGAAATCCCTGTGTAAGTACTGGTTCCGCTTTCAACAAGCTGATGCGACCACTGTGCTCAGCAGGTAGGCCACGAGCACGGGGCAGCTGCTGCCACCAGGCCAGCCTCGAAGAGGACGTGGCATAGGACTGCCCCAGAGGTTGCTGTCACGTTCCTTCTGTGGGGTGGCCCACTGGGCAGAGCCACGGCCGACCCGGGAGAGCTGAGGTCTCCAGCTTCTGAGGAAGGAGGCGCACCCCCACCCTGTCCACTAAGCGCCCACGGTCACCTTCGATCTCCAGGTCTGTTTCTGAGCTCTCCCCGCCTGGCTTCTCTTTTTCTACAGCCACAGAGGACTCAGCCTCACAGTAGAAGGTCTCGTCACTGTTCCGTGCTGCTGGCTTGGTTTCAGGTTCATCTAGAAGAAAACTCATCTCCTTGATTCTGGAAATAAAACCTGAGGGCCTCTCAGGTGAAGTCTACCTGTGGCTTCTCCCCCCCCCCCCCCCCCCCCCCC